CTGCCTAGAAAGTAAAGTTTTAAAACAAATTAAATAATATTTAGATGAACTGAAATTTAAAATACACTCTCCCCATCCATGAAATTATTCTTTCTTCTGGTAAGCATTTTGGAGCCCTTCACTGAGCTCCAACTGAAGTTGTTTCTGACCCTATGTGGTGCTGAGGTTGCCACCACGGCTCCTGCACTGGGAAGTGGGGTACCTGGTCCAGGGATTCAATTTCAGAATAGAGAATTTAAAAAAAAATCCTCTAACCAATTAGAATTTATAAGAAATCAAACGTTCAGAATTATGTTTGAAGCCATTTTTTTTGCCATGAATTTTTTAAAATCAAGGTATATTTTACATACAATAAAATATACCCATTTTCAGGGAATTCCCTGGTGGTCCAGTGGTTAAGAATCCCTCTTCCAATGCAGGAGATGTGGGTTCTGTCCCTGGTCAGGGAACTAAGATGCCACATGTGAGGGTCAATGAAGCCCACATGGCCACAACTACTGAGCCTGCATGCCCCAACAAAGTTCCCGTGTGCAGCAACTAAGACCTGATGAAGCCAAAAATAAAACTAAAGTATAATAAGTAAACATGCCCATTTTCAGTACAGATTTCAATGAGTTTTGACAAATGCATACTGAACAGCCCAATCACCTCCAAAACCTCCTTCATGCTCATTCCAATAATTCTTCCCCAAGACAACAACGATTTAGATTTCCTTCGCTACAGATTACTTTTCCTGGCTTAGAATTTCATACAAATGGAATAATAACAGCGTTTCTCTTTTGTCTGTGGCTTCTTTCACTCAACCTTATGTTTATGAGCTTCATAGACATATGAAGTAGTTTGTCCCTTTCGTTTGGTAAATAGTATTCTATGATCCCATTGTTGTGTTTGTCAGTTCTTAAGTTGTTGGACTTCTGAGATGTTTCCAGTTTTTTGTTATCATGGAGAAAGCTAATGTGGGATTTCCCTGATGGTCCAGTGGCAAAGACTACGCTCCCAATGCATGGGGCTGGGGTTCCATCCCTGGTTGGGTGGGGAACTAGATCCCACATGCCACAACTGAGAGTCCAAACACTGCAACTAAAAGATCTCGCCTGCCACACGAAGATAGAAGAACTCACGTGCTGCAACTAAGACCTGGCACAATCAAATAAATATATGAATATTTTTTTAAAAATGAAAGCCAATATGAACATTTGAGCACAAGTTTTTTTGTGTGTGAACATATTGCGGTAGTATGCTGTGGCTGGCTCACCAGAATCAATTTTGCCAATCTCTTCTCAACTCTGGTTCTGTGATGTCATATTAGTACACAGTTTGAAATAAGCCACGATGTGAGTATTTATACCATAGTTGGCAATTGCTACAAATTAGAGCTTTATTCCCCTGGGGAGCTGGTTGGTAAACATTTACCAGCACACCATTGGACATATTTGTTTTCATTGTTTTTTCCTTTTTTAGAATAAATACCTAGGAGTGAAATACCTAGGACTGCATGATGTATCTATGTTTGACTTTATTTGAAGCTGCCAAACTGTTTTCAAAGTGGTGTAACATTTTATACTCCCAAAAGCAACATATGAAAGTTCCAGTTGCTCCACATTTTCATCAGTGTGTGGTATTGTCAGTCTTAATTTTAGCCATTGAATGAAGATCTGAATAGAAGAGGGGTGATGGGAAATGGAAGTTATATGGCAGCCCTGTAAGCCATACATTTGTTTTCTCTCCTTACAAACGGAGAAAGCCCTCAAATACAAGTAGAAGCATGCTGAGATCCCCTCACATAACACCCTTTCTCTGATGTTCCCATTTCACTACAGAGGAATGTTGATGCTACCAAGGAGAGAAGGTAGTCACTTCAAACATAACAGGCCATGTTCATGATGTTGGGGAATAATTAAAAATAAAATCTCGTGCCAACTCAATGAATTCTCTCTACAAATGTAGAAAAGAATGAACTGATTTTATTATCGAGTAAGCATTAAAACAGACAGTGAAGTGTATCACAAACAATTCACTAAAGTGATTTAGGAGAAAGTAACCTCATCCTTTTATATAGCCAGGCAGATACAACCCATTTCATACGTGTTCTTAGGACATAATAACTTGCCTTCAAGAGAACTTGACAGCATGATTGCTACACACAGTTCATCTCAAATTTACCTGGTAATTGGTGTAGCCATCTGCCTTTAGGCAAAGGAAAAACAAAGCACATATCTCTCTGACAAACAGCGACTTGGAGCCAGCCACCTAGGTCAAATTCCTAGGGACCAGAAGATAGGGTGCTATCTTCGCTGACATTTACATTTCAAAGAGATGGCTCCCAGGGCCTCAAGAACAACATTCCTGAGTTGTAAAACTGGCAGGAGGCCTATTTAGCTTTTATTAAAAGGAGTTACATACATATTGAAGGGAGGGAGAAAAAATTTACAACTGAAAGTTTTCTAAGGGAACTACACTATGAAAAGGGAAGATGGAAAGTCTTATTTGTGACACCAGAGACAATTCGACTTTTAAAAACTTTGTGTTTACCCTACAATACCTCCACACGCTTCCCAGAGTTATGCACCATTCCAGGTCCACAATTCCCCTACACATCTAGGATTAGTCTTTCAAAACCCTTATCAACTCCATTCCTAAAGGAAGGAAGCCTCCTCTAACAGCAGACCGCCACTCCTAGGGTAAGACCTCCAGTCCCAGCCACACTAGAGACTCGCTGTTTTCAAAAGTTATGACTACAGTCTCTCAGAATTGGAAAACGTTGCAAATGTTTGGTCTGACTCCAACCCATTTCAAAGACGGTAAAACTGAGACACAGGAATGGTACTTAGGGCGCTGGGTCACTGGAGCAAAAACAGCGCTTAAGGATCCCCCACCCAGTTTCGGGAACCCCTAAAGTCAGCCCCAAGTGACCAAAAAAATAAAAGTCCTGACTTATTCCATTACGGCAAGATTGGGGTTAAAACTCTTGGCACGCAGGTCTTTTCCCGACTGCGCCTGCGCGAATCCGGACACGCGAATTTGCCCTAGACCCTGACGTTTCAGGCAGCCTCTCCTAATCCGGAACACGACCCACATTCCGAAGGCCCCTGCTTTGACAGGCGTGTATCTAACCCAATAAGGATGGAGGGCTGAGTCCTCCGGAGCCAATGGCCAAAGTCCGAGGGGCGGTGGAGGCGGACTCTGTAAGGAAACCAGAAGACAGGCCCAAGATGGAGGCGGCGGCGGCTGTAGCGGCGTGACAGGTGAGGGCGGGCCCGGTAGGGTTAGGTTTCTGGAGTTACTGTCGGGCACGGGTAGGGAGCCGGGAACGAAAGCTCAGCTCCAGGATGACTGCGCCTGGGCCCTGACGCCCCCCCACCCGGAACCGGAGGAGTGGTTTGACCCGGGGCGAAACCATTATCGACAGCGCGGGGGGGGGGCGGAATTGGAATGGGTGCAAGGCTGCGGGGGATGGTTTCGCCCGTCGCGTGTGGCAGCGCGCCTGCGCAAAGCTGGAAGGCCCTCGGTGGGCGGAGCTGGGCCGAGTGTGGCTTGGATTGTGGTATCTCATCTTGTGGAGTCCTCCTTAACCTCTTTAAGGTATCTGATGCCCCTTCCTTACCAACAACGGGGAATGCGTGAAGACACGGATCATTCCTCGCTTTCCTTATTCTGGATCAATGTCTAACCCAATAGGAGAATGTTTGAGGATTCTCACATTCCTCCTCTTTAACCCTCTCCAGCCTCCATCCATTATCACTAGTAATATGTCTGCGACCCTTTCATTAGCTGTCAAGGAGAATTTTGGCGCACCCTCTGCCTCATCTACGCTTTACCCCTACTTATCTCACCTCAGCCACATCTGGTGATGCTCCATAACCCTCATTTCCCCCATTACAAAGTCTGGTGATACCCGTTATCCACTCTTCTTCCCATTACAGTCTCAGTTCAGTTCAGTCGCTCAGTCGTGTCCGACTCTTTGCGACCCTATGGACTGCAGCACGCCAGGCCTCCCTGTCCATCACCAACTCCCGGAGTTTACCCAAACTCATGTCCATTGCGTCGGTGATGCCATCCAACCATCTCATCCTCTGTCGTCCCCTTCTCCACCTGCCTTAAATCTTCCCCAGCATCAGGGTCTTTTCAAATGAGTCAGCTCTTCGCATGAGGTGGCCAAAGCATTGGAGTTTCAGCTTCAACATCAGTCCTTCCAATGAACACTCAGGACTGATCTCCTTTGGGATGGACTGGTTGGATTTCCTTGCAGTCCAAGGGACTCCTTACTGACTCCTTACAGTCTCTAGTGACGACTATTACATCTCCCCTCAGCATAGTGTCTCTGAGCCTTTATGAACTCCCCATCACAGTCTGGTGACTACTATTAGGCACCTAGCACAGTACCCGTGAACCTCCTGTCATTACAGTCCAGGGCTTCGGGATGCCCACAATGCCCTTACAAACACTGGTGCAATTCCCATTTCCACCAAGCTAACGGCAGTGTCTGATGATCCTCAGTTAGTTCCCCATCACCCTGTCTGTGACTCCTCCCACACCACAGTATCTGGTAACCCCCTTCTCCATTCGAAAGCCAGGACAGCCTGTTCATGTCCATTATGTACTTGACACGCCCCAGTGTAGTGCGTGCTGACTTCCCCGTTAGTCCCCAGCACAGAGACTTATGTACTCCCATGCCCTGCGGGACAGTGTGTGCTGCCTCTCACTGTGTCCTACCCCCACCCCACCCCACCCCGCCCTGTGCAGTGAATCTGAGACCTTGGCAATTAAGCGTGAGACAAACAACTGGAGGGGCTGAGCAGAGGAGGAACTGGATCCCTTGAGCGGTGTGGAAATTAGGCTACAGGGGGTGACGTGAAGTCTGGAAGTTGAATTTTTTGTCCTCTGCCACTTTACTTCCATACTATCATTATAAGACCTCTGAATTCTTCCTCTGTCTTTTAGGAGCCCCATGGCACCTGCCCAGCCCCACCTTAGCCCATCTTGACAAAGTCCTAGGCTCCATGGAGCCACCACGGGGCCCCCCTGCCAACGGGGCCGAGCCATCCCGGTCAGTGGGCACTGTCAAAGTGTACCTGCCCAACAAGCAGCGCACGGTGGTGAGTCTGATGGGAGCAAAACTGGCTGGGGGTGGGCATGGATCTAGTTGTAAATCTGGGATCAGAAAGGTGACAAGGGCTGGGAGAGTCCACTGCGGACCCCTCTGGGTGCTGACTCCTTACATGTGTGCACACACACACAGGTGACTGTCCGGGATGGCATGAGTGTCTATGACTCTCTAGACAAGGCCCTCAAGGTGCGGGGTCTCAATCAAGATTGCTGTGTGGTTTACCGGCTCATCAAGGGGTAAGTGTGGCTCTCCCACCCACAACTGGGTGCCCAGCCTTCCACCCCCTTCTCAGAGTCATCCGACTCCTCCACTCTGCTGTGCAGTCTCTGTTAGTCTTCCCTTCACTTAGTGAATCCAGCTTTTGTCTTATTGCTTCACTAGTTCATTGACCTGTAAGGTCAGTAATTCATTTTCTTTGTAGATCTGGAGTCCTCACCGTGCTCCATCGTCTCCTCCCGGAATTCATCTGTTTCATTCTTTCACTGTTTTATCAACTTGTCAACTCCCTCCTTCCTCTGTCTCCTCATTCTCTGTCTGCTGTGTGGGCCTTGCTGACCTTCCATTTATTCCTCTGTTTTAGAGTTCCTTAACTCTTGTATTCAGTTCACACATTGCTTTTTTTTTTTTCACGCATTGCTTTTTATTTGTTATTTCAGTGCCTCACCAGCTGCTTTGTCGGGGGCTTGCTTAGCACCTCTGAGATTTAGTTGTTTCTTCACTGTGTCATTTCCTCCTCTTGTAGCTAAGAACATGGGCTCTTCACACTGTCCTTCCACTCATAGTCCCTTGTGGCTCTGGGCAACTCATTTCATCCCTCTTTGCCTCAGTTTCCCCATACATAAATGGGTAAGGATAGTACTAGTTCCTAGAGTTCCCATACTAAAAATGCAACATATCGTCTATTATTTCATGGATGGCAGGCTTGGAAGGACTTTTGGTGGGTTCCCTTCCTCCTTGTGGCCCCTGGCCACCCTCCCACTCACTCCCTTCCATGCCTTTTGCAGGCGAAAGACAGTCACCGCCTGGGATACAGCCATTGCCCCCCTGGATGGCGAGGAGCTCATTGTGGAGGTCCTCGAAGATGTCCCCCTGACCATGCACAATTTTGTGAGTGGAGAGAGGGGGCAGACTGTGGGCATGGTGGGAGGGTCCATGACCAGGCTTCAACCTTTTCTACTCTGTGGCAGCAGGTACGGAAGACGTTCTTCAGCCTGGCCTTTTGTGACTTCTGCCTTAAGTTTCTGTTCCATGGCTTCCGCTGCCAAACCTGTGGATACAAGTTCCACCAGCATTGTTCCTCCAAGGTCCCCACAGTCTGTGTCGACATGAGTACCAACCGCCGACAGTGAGCCTGGCCTGGGGTGGGTGGGGAGATGGGGAGGACAGAGGCCCAGCCACAAGGCTTTTACAGACAGCTGACCCATGTTCCCTTGCTTTATACCCCAAATGCCCTCAAGGTTCTACCACAGTGTCCAGGATTTGTCCGGAAGCTCCAGACAGCACGAAGTTCCCTCAAACCGCGCCCTGAATGAGCCACTCACCCCTCAGAGTCCCAGGTAGGGGATGCCTTAGCCAAAGGGCTACTGTCAGAAGAAAATATCTGGAGGCCTCAGTAGAGATCAAGCTATACTTAATTCTTTTGTCTACTCAATGGACATTTAGTGAGCACCTACAAGTGTAAGTAAGGGCATGGAGCTGTGGGGCCTCAGGCAAGTTCCCTAGTCTCTCTGGACCTTAGTTTTCTTATTTGTAAGGAAAGGATAATGATACTTTTACCACATAGGGTTCTGGTGTGGATTAAATGAGTTACAGTGGGTGCAATGTTTAGAACATGATCCAGCACAGGATAAGTTCTTCTTATTAATTATAATATATATCTATGTCTATATTATCTAACTACTTTGTTAATTCTTCCAGTATAACCATGCTCAAGCCTTTCCACTTTGGAATACGTATTATTTTCTCATAAATTCACTTTTACTTCTCCTTTAAGTATGATAATACTATATTTCAATATTGAAATATATTATCACTGTAATGCATCATGTTTATATGATATGCATTTTATATGTATATTTTATAATGTCAATATTTATATGATATTTATGCTATTGTATAATGTGTTATATTGATAATATTTTCATACAATGTAGAATATTAAATATTTTTATGTAATATATAAAATAGTAAAGTTAGGGCATTATGTTATTTTTAATTATGGGCACATGTGAATTAATTACCTATGAATTGCATTTCAGGATAGTGAAGGAAACATTAAGAAATATTTTTATAGCATTATAATATATTTAATGTATAACACATGTATATATGTAACATTAACATGTATATGTAAAGCATTGCTACTTTAATATAGATAACATTGTATATTACATAATGCATAATATATTTGAGTACTGCATATAGTTATACAATATTACATATTGCTCTTCCCCCACTATCTGTGTGGCTTTGCTGTCCTTCCTTTAAGTCTTTGCTCAAATGTCGCTTGCTCAGAGAAGCCTTTCCTGACAAGATCAGGGACACTTCTTGTCTTCTTATGTTGCTTTATTTTTTGCTTTATTGCTTCTATCACCATTGAACGTATGAAATATTCTTTGTTTTTTATTTCTCTCTCCCTACTACAGTTAGTCCCATGAAGGCAAGAACCTTTGTTTTTAATTTTTTTTAATTTAAAAATTTTAGTACAGTTCAAATCTGCATGTGTGTAGAACCTTTATTTGTTTTGTTCACAGTTTTATTTCCACTGTCTAGAACGGTATCTGGCACATAGCAAGCAGTTAGTCAGTGTTTCTTAAACAAATGCATAATAGTAATGACAGTGGACATTTACTCTATGTGAGCTAAACACATACCTAGGAAGGGGCAGTGGGTTGGGGGGATGTTCTACTGGTTCTCTCATTCACTCAACAGTGATTTCACAGCCTTTCCCCTGCCAGCTCCTGCACCCAGCACCGCGACCCCGAGCACTTCTCCTTCCCTGCCCAGGCCAACACCCCCCTCCAGCGCATCCGCTCCACATCCACCCCCAATGTCCACATGGTCAGCACCACAGCCCCCATGGACTCCGGCCTCATCCAGGTTGGTGTTGAGGCAGGCGGTCACCAGGGAGCATGAGGCAGAGGGGAGGGCCATTCCTGTTGTCCTCCATGTCCTCTCTCTGACTCCCAGCCCTCTTCTTCCAGCTCACTGGCCAGAATTTCAACACTGATGGTGAGCCCCCCGCTGCCTGTGCCCTGAGCCCCCCACCCTACCCCACCCAGCTCCACTCACACCCTCTCTGTAACTGCAGCTGCTGGGAATAGAGGTGGTGGTGATGGAGCCCCCCGGGGGAGCCCCAACCCAGCCAGTGTGTCCTCGGGAAGGAAGTCCCCACATTCCAAGTCCCCATCAGAGCAGCGGGAACGGAAGTCCTTGGCTGATGACAAGAAGAAAGTGGTGAGCTCCAGGGGACACCTTTGGTGGGGGCACCACAGGCTGAGTGATGAGGGGTGTGGGCAGGCCCCTGAGATGCCACCCGTGTGGCCCACAGAAGAATTTGGGGTACCGGGACTCGGGCTATTACTGGGAGGTGCCACCCAGTGAGGTGCAGTTGCTGAAGAGGATCGGGACGGGCTCGTTTGGCACCGTGTTTCGCGGGCGGTGGCATGGTGATGTGGCCGTGAAGGTGCTCAAGGTGGCCCAACCCACAGCTGAGCAGGCCCAGGCCTTCAAGAACGAGATGCAGGTGCTCAGGTGAGATTGCTCGCGTGTGTGGATGGGGCGGGGGCGGCAGACACGGCCTCTGTGCTTCTCTGGGGAAAGGCCCTGCTGAGGGTGCTTCCTCACATCCTCCATATTTATGTTGTGTTATAACCATAATAGTAAGTTGTTTGTTTATCAGAGAAGTGCCTTTCCCCTCTGGGAAATGGGTATGTTTAAAGGACCTCTGATGAGGCTGTTGTTTGTGTAAATATTGATATTAATTAATGGCCCTGCCTCCAAAATGTGACTCTTTTTGCTTGCCTGTTGTGAAATGAGTATCACTGCAGTGTTATTGTATTTACTGACATCAATAGCATAATGTTAGTTAGCTGCATCGCCTGGTAGGCTGATGGCCTTTCTTCTCTGCTTGTTCTGCACCATTAGTATGTATTTACTGTGTTACATTCTTGTTATTAATTATAATAATACTATTCTTTAAAGAACAGTATTAAAACTATAATCAGAAGCATAATTTAATCATTGTTTGGTTAATGATTGTGATTGCTCTACTTAATATATCATTCCTACTATATTAATTCATTCACACTGAGAAACCCTGGTGCTCCCTTTTGTCACCCTAGTTACTACCACTTTTGGGGTTGCTGTTGTGGGCTTTCCCCTCATGACAAGTGGGCACAATTATATTGCAGAGTTGACGTTTTCAGTCTCTGCTCCTCTCTGTCAAATGGCATTGATTTGAACAGGCTGTGAATTTGTATTGTGTTAGTACTGAAACCATAACCTAACCACTATGAAGAACTCATGTGCTGTTATCCACTCTGATGTGTGCAAAACTGTGGACTATCATTGATGTTCTTTGCATGTATGTTATCCTTCTATAAGGAATGAAAGTTTTCTTCTAAATGAGGGTGGCTGTTCGTACAGGACAGAGTTTCTATAAGGTAGATCCAGGTACCCAGTAGCGATGACAGCAGGGACAGTGGTATTTTTAGGGTGCTTGCTTGTGTTTGGCCATTCAGAGCACCTTACAGGTTATTACGTAGTCCTCCAAACACCCGTGCCAGGTATCTCATAGAATAATCACAGTTTTTCAGTTAAGGAAAATGAGGCACAGAGAGCTTAAGTGTCCTTCCTGAGATTGCACAGTGAGTACCTGAGGAAGCCCGGATTAGAACATAATTTTAGTCCAAACCCCAAACTCTTTACCTCTAAGCCTCTCATGGTTAACAGGACATAGTTATACATCACTGATGTTTTTACCCAACAGTTATCAATGTTATGTTGATATATCACTGATGAAGGTTGGCATTCCACTTTCTCATCTCATCTCAAATGGTCACAGGCTCAGGTCATGGTCATGGTCAGAGGTGTGGCAAGTCTGATGATTAAGATGCTCCTGGTCAGTAGGGAGAGAAGGGTTATCCGTCCCTCCTGCTTTTGTTGGGAGATTTGGATGAGGAAGTTCAGGACATAAGTGCTCAGCCCAGTAAACATATCTCACAAATTCACTGAATCTGGCCATAGTCTGGTCCTGAGCCTCCTGAAAGACAGGGTGGAAATGATGGCAGAAGGCAGCAGTGAATAGCACCCTTCCAAAGGCTCAGAAAGTTGCTGTTTGCCCTCCCTGCCCTGATACCAACTGCCCCACCTGCAGGAAGACACGTCACGTCAACATCTTGCTGTTCATGGGCTTCATGACCCGGCCAGGATTTGCCATCATCACACAGTGGTGTGAGGGCTCCAGTCTCTACCACCACCTTCATGTGGCTGACACACGCTTCGACATGGTCCAGCTCATTGATGTGGCCCGCCAGACTGCTCAGGGCATGGAGTGAGTGTTCTGGCTCAGGGACTAGGGAAGGGGCTAGGGGGTTGGGGGTAGGGAGATGAGGTAGCCCCCCAGACAGTCTGACACCTGCTTGTACCCCTACAGCTACCTCCATGCCAAGAACATCATCCACCGAGATCTCAAGTCTAACAGTATCTACCTATCCCTCTCGGGCTGGGCTGGGGCAGGCAGCATCAAACAGGATGACGACTTAGAGGAATGGCTCTTGTGGGGGGCCCTTCTGGGGGCAAACAAGGAGGGGCACCTGTTGCATTTCCCTTTGCCAGGCGCCAGAATTGTGGCTGGTTCAGGTGGTGTTCTTTGGGACTCTGGTCAGGGTCTGAGGAGTGACAGTGGTGGAAGGCATTATGGGGGTTCCTGATCAGTGTCATAGGCATGGTGAGTGTGGGTACCATGAGAGGAGCTTCCTAGTCAGAATTCACAGGGGAGCCAAGTATAGGGAGTGTTAATTAGAGCTCCCCTCCAAGTCAAGATTGTACCTAGTTTGTGTGACACTGGGGGGCTTCCGGTCAGGGTTAGAGGCAATGACTGGTGTGGAGGCATCAATGAGAGCCTCCCAGTCAGGGCAAGAAGCATGGCTATTGGGAGACCCTGTAGTGGCCCTTAACCCTGGCGGACATCTTCCTGCACGAGGGGCTCACGGTGAAGATTGGGGACTTCGGCCTGGCCACAGTAAAGACGCGCTGGAGTGGGGCCCAGCCCTTGGAACAACCCTCGGGCTCTGTGCTATGGATGGTGAGTTGGACCAGGCTAGACTGGGGGTGTATAGGGACATGGGCTCCTGGGCTAAGATGTTGAAGGAGGAGTGGGGCCGGGGTTTCCTGCACCAGGTGTGGGTGTTTGGACCACTTACACTTCACCTCATGGGGGCAGCTCTGAAGTCACTTGCTGACCTGTACATTCCTCCTGCCCGGTCCTGTCTGCTGAAGGCAGCTGAAGTGATCCGTATGCAGGACCCGAACCCCTACAGCTTCCAGTCAGATGTCTACGCCTATGGGGTTGTGCTCTATGAGCTCATGACCGGCTCACTGCCTTACAGCCACATTGGCAGCCGAGACCAGGTGAGCCCCATACCTTACCTGCCTTATCTCAGGCCAAGGGATCCCCTTAGACGCCAAACCTCAGATCTCCTCCTTTGCACAGACCATGAACACCACTCTGCCCCCAGGAACCCCAAATTTTCAGAGCTGAGGACTCCCAGACTCCTCTGGGTCTTCTGTACCCAGAATCCTTTCCTTCACTCATATCCACTTCTCTGGGTCCTCAAAGTCCAGAATCTCCTGAGTCCCCTATACCCAGAATCCCCCAGGTCCCCAAAAGTCCTCCTAGACACATAGTCCTCTGACCTGGGTACTCAAAACTCCCCAAAGCCCAGAATCCGATTTCTCTAAGAAACAATCCCTTTGTCCTTCTGGAATCCCCACAGATACCCACAACCACTCAGGCCTTGGGTATCTGTCAAGCTCCAGGACCCTTGAATCCACAATACTCTAGGCCCCAGACTCTCACATTTCTCCAGGTTCAAAGACTAGAATTTACCAGGCCCTCAGAAACCCAAGATCCTCTAGGCTCCAAATACCAATAGTCTTTGGGTCTTAAGCACTCACTGTCCTACAGGCCACTTGGACCCATAGTCCTCTCAGCCCTAGACCACTACAGAAATACAAGTTCCTGAGGACTACCAGCCTTTTAACTCCCTCCAGACCCAGAAATTCATGTTTCCCCCAGACTCAGTTCTTTCCAGGCCCCTAAGCCCCCTAGAAACCTGTGGACCCATAATCCTTTGGGCCCCAGACACTTAACCATTTTTGATTCCCCCAAGCTTAAATCCTTCTGTACCATTAAGCAGAGAATCCTTCCAAGTTTTCAGGGACCCATAATCTCTAGATCCACCAGATACCCACAGTCCTCTGGGCCCCAATACCCAAAATACCCCAGTTCTCCCAAAAGGAGTCCCCGAGGTCCCTCAAGACCCAGAATTCCCTGTGCTTCCCAGCCCAGATCACCCCATTCTTGTCCCCTCTCCCAGATTATCTTTATGGTGGGCCGTGGCTATCTGTCCCCGGACCTCAGCAAAATCTCCAGCAATTGCCCCAAGGCCATGAGGCGCCTGCTGTCTGACTGCCTGAAGTTCCAGCGAGAGGAGCGGCCCCTTTTTCCCCAGGTGGGCTGAGGAGGAGGGCTGGACACCCTGGGGAGGGAGCCTCTGAGGAGCAAATGTGAACTGTGTGTGTTCAAGGCTCCGAAGTATACAATGTGTGTGAGTGTGTGTTTCCTCTTTAGGCTGGGGTTTGGGGGTGTTTGGATGCCCACACGGCTCTGGACATCCCCTCCTCACCCGCCCCTGCCCCCAGATCCTGGCCACGATTGAGCTGCTGCAGCGGTCACTCCCCAAGATTGAGCGGAGTGCCTCCGAACCCTCCTTGCACCGTACCCAGGCTGATGAGTTGCCTGCCTGCCTACTCAGCGCAGCCCGCCTAGTGCCTTAGGCCCCACCCCCAGCCACCAGGGAGCCAATCTCAGCCTCCCACGCCAAGGAGCCCTTCCCACCAATCAATGTTCTGTCTCTGCCCTGATACTGCCTCAGGATCCCCCATCCCTGCCCTGGGAGATGAGGGGGTGCCCATGTACTTTTCCAGTTCCTCTGGAACTGGGGGACCCTTGAAGACCAAGACCCCCATAATTTTGTTTCCTCTTGGCTTTGGGGATACATTTAAATTCGGGAACTCCTCCATCTCCAATGGCTGGGATTTGTGGCAGGAATTCCACTCAGCACCTCTCTGTAATTTGTGCCTGATGTGCCTTCCACTGGATTTTGGGGTCCCAGCACCCCATGTGGATTTGGGGGTCCCATCTGTCTCTTTTCCACCATTCAAGGACTCCCCTCTTTCTTCACCAAGAAGCACAGAATTCTGCTGGGCCTTTGCTTGTTTATTTTGCTTCCCGACTCTTCTCATGGGGTTCAGAGCTGCTGAGGGGTGAGGGTGAGTCCAGGCAAGGGGTGGAGTTTGGGGGGAGGTGCGGATCACACAGTGCCACTGCACGCATCACCACAGGCGGCACGATGAACGAGGACCACATATGCCAAGCACAGGCACGAGAGGAGGCCACGTCAGTCACAGACACAGACATCACGGCAAAGGTGGGGAAGTGGGAGACCATTGGCCTTCTGTGTGCACAGGATTCTGGGAGGATGGGTGGAGTTTGCATATTTAAAGACAGCTGTCAGAGGCAGGAAAGTGAGGCAGGGGTCCCTGGGGAACTGAGGGGTCCTAGCAGTGGGAGGAGCTCTCAGTGTGTTGAGTGGGGTTGGTGGGGGGAGGACTGAAGGGAAAACCTTGGGGGGCTGGGTGGGGACAGTTGAACAGGTGGATCCCCAGAGATGGGAAATCCAAAGAAAGGGTATCAAAGGGAGGGGTTTCTTAAGGATTGGGTAAATTTTGCTGGGGAACAAGGTGCACTGGAGAGATCTGGGGCCAGGAATGGCATTTTCCAGGAATTTCAGGGCTCCAGGAGTGGTTGCCTGGTGTTTGGGAGCTTCCAGGAAGGAAAATGCACTCGGAGGGCACCAGGGGTCGAGGTCTTCAGGGATCTGGAGGTTCTAAAACTGAGAAGTAGTTCTTGCGATGACTGAGAGTGGGTTTTTCAAAGGACGTGGGAATTCCAAACGTGAGGACTGGATTTAGGACCAGGAGTGAGGTTTCCCCAGGGACTTGAGCATTCTGAGGAGTGAGAAGAGGGATCTTGACGATCCAGGAGAGGACTTCTCAAGGGATGAGATTTCCAAAAGTGAGAAATAGATTCAAGGCCCAGACAGGGGTTGCCCAGGGATTTGGGGGTTCTCAGGGTAGGGTGTCAGTCGGAGAAGAGGCTTGCGAAAGACTTCCTCAGGCTGCGGATGGTCTCAGCTTTCACCTCGTCCTGGCTAAGGCTGGGCCTGGGCGGGGCTGGCTCTGGAAGGTTGAAGGCATTGGTCAGAGACTGGGATTTGCTAGAGAGAAACAAGGTGGAGGCGTGGGAGGAAGGGGGAAGAGGAAGGGAGGAGGGGGAGAGAAACACAACGTTACCCCAGGCCCGGCCCCAGCCCTGCCCCTCTGGTCCTGGGGCTGTGCCTGTTACCCTCCCACCCAGCAGCACAGGCCTGGACCCTGAGGGATTCTCAGGAGGAGTGGGGAGTCCTGGGCTGGGTGGGAGGATTTGGATCCAAGGTGAGGAGGCCTGGGATGGATGGGAAGAGTTCTGGGCTGAATCTTCTCAGAATTCTAGACCAGATTGGGAGGAGTTTAATATAAGGTGATGATGGGCAGGAAGGTTTCTTTCTAGTCCAAGGGTAAGGAGTCCATAAAGAGGGGTAGGGTAGGGCTTGGACCAAGGACAGGCTGGAAGGGGAAGATCTAAGGGGGGAGCACTTGGGTGGGGCAGGGAGGGCTTTTGCGGTAGTGAAGGAGGTCTGGAATGGACCAGAAGAGGCAGAGAGGATAGTGTGATTTGGGAGGAGACTCAGATGGACCAGAAGGGAGCCTAGACTCTAGAGAAAGGAGGATGACTGGAAAGTGAAGTAATTTAGGATTGTGGATTGGGCTGGGAGGAGTTTGGGGGTTCGGTTGCAGGGAGTCAGGTCGGGCAGGAGGAGAATGAGTTGGGCAGAGAAGTACTGAAGAAGGGTTAGCAAGGCGCCTTGGAGGCCAAGAGGAGCTGGGCTGGGGGGCTTTCCCAGGGCCTACAGGGAGGATTCTGAACTGAAAGGGGGGATTCTCTGGAATGGAGGGTAGGAGCCTCTATGAACCAGGAAGGGTCTGGCTCAGACTGGAACCGGAGAGAGAGCTGTTAGGATCCTGTGCAGGACTGGGGTCTGAGGAGCCAGGGAGCCCAGGGCTGCCCTCCACGTGCAGGAGCCCATTTTGTGAGCAGCAAGGTGAGGGCTGCTGTGGGGTCCTCTTACTTGAGCTGGGGGTGTGGGGGTCCCCCGGCAGCAGCAGTGGCAGGTGGTGGCACATCCTGGCTGGGTTTCTGGGCCAGTTGTGGCTTGGTGGGACGTCCAGCGGGGCCCGGGCCACTGGGTCGCGGCTGCTGCGTAGTGGGTGGCCCAGTGCGGGGCATGGGACCCGCCTGGCTGGCCTGGCGCGTGGGACCAGCAGGGCCTGGAGGTTTCTGGGGTGGGCCCTGGCGCTGCTGACCACCCGGTGGAACCCCTGAGGCCTTTGGTGGAGCCTGACCAGAGACTGATGTCTGACGAGTAGCCTGTGGGGGGCCCGCCTGGCGCTGGGGAGATGGGGAGGCGGGTGGGCGGGCGGCTGGAGGTGCCCCAGGTCCTCCAGCCACTGGCCGGGATTGGCGGCCTTGACCCTGGGTCAGCGGTGTGGCCTGGGATGCAGGCTGCTGGGGCACTGATGTGGGACTTGGTAGACGCTGGGGCAGGGGGCTGCCAGCTGGGGGTCCAAGGCCCGAAAGGTGCTGCTGGCCCTGTGGGGTCGGGCGCTGCTGCAACGGGGGTCCCTGGCGTTGGGGGCCCGGGCCCGGCTGTGGAGGGCCGCCTGAGGGACAGAGAGAAAGTGCACATGTGAGAGTGAGCCAGTGAGAGGTAGGAGGCTGCCAGGCAGAGTCGGGGCCCAGGAAGCTGGCCCCTCACTTACCCTGTGGCGGGGGTCGTTGCTGAGCTGGGGGCCCCGTGGGCTGCTGGGAGATCTGGCGGCCCAAGGGCAGGGCCCCTGGGGACGGAGTCTGCGGCAGAGGAGTGGAGCAGGAGAGGTTAAAAATAGTTACCAGCCAGTGGGGCATCAGCCAATCAGAATGTCACGGGTTCCCTGTATGCTGGGTGTTGCCACATTTGTGGCTGAGCTGAGGGATGGCAGGTTGTGGGGTAGGGGGGGATTTATTCCCAGGGGAGGGGTCAGGAGGTATTCAGAGAAGTCAGGGTAGCAACTATTTATCAATTTTTTAAATATTGGACAATTTTTAAAAGTTGGTCATTGCCATGACACATGTGTGTCCCTGTGTTACTCTTAGCCTGCTGGTTATTAGCTCTATGACACAGCATGACCAAGGGCTAGCCTGCCCGCCACTAGCCCCTGAGAGCCAGAGCCAGGGGCCTGACCTGGCTGTGGGAGCCCCTGCCGGGGGAGGCATCCCGCTGCCGCTGCCGGGGCAGGGCCTGGGCCATCTTGTTGACCACGAGCTCTACGATGAGCTGCTTGTCTTCATCCTGGTGGTCACCGATGAGCGGCATGGAGGAGCCCACCACCTGGGGGAGGAGAGGAGATCCGGTGAGGAGAGAAGCAGGAAGTGCATGGGTGCATGGGAGGGCAAGGATGACAAAGTGCTTGAAAAATTGGAAAAAGGCATGACTGGCAACTGCCCAGGAAACAAACTTTGGTTTGAGAGGCACCGATTACCCAGTGTGGGAAGGCTTGTCTTTTACGAGATAGCTTACAGCTTAGGACATTCGAACAGGGGTGAACAAATGAGGGCTTACCTACCAGCCAAATCTGGCCCAGAACCTGTTTCTGTACAGTCCCCTCCGCCTCCCTGCCTCCTGAGCTAAGGGTGGGTTTTATATTTTTTAATGGTTAAGAAAAAAAAAAAGATTTCATGTCCTGAGAAAACTATATGAAATTTAAATTTCGGTGTCCATAAACCAAGTTTCATGGGAACACAACCCTCTTTACTTTCTTGCTATATTGTCTGTGGTTGCTCTTGTAGAATTGAGGAGCTGCAACAGACATTATATGACCCACAAAGCCAAAAATACACACTGTCTGGCCTTGATAGAAAAAGTTTGCCAATCTCTGCTTTATAGTTTGCTAGGTGCTTTGTCCTTTACAAAGAACTTTGTGGTTTATGTGGTACTTTACAGTATACAAAGCTCCTTGCCCTTTACAAAGGACTGTTGCATATATGGTGTGTTTAGGCTTTAGAAAGTACCTTGCAAAGGGCACCACTGTTTACAAGATGCTTACCATTTATAAGCGCTACCATTTACCGTGCACTCTGAATTTTCAAGGTATTTTACAGTTTACAAATTGCTTTACTGTTTACTGGGGACACTGCTGCTTACAAAGAGCTTTAGAATTTTGAAAGCACTTTGCTTCAAGAATGAGGACTTCCAGTTTACAGAGCTCCTTTTTTATTTTCAGAGCTCCTTTAAAACTAATTTTATAAAGCACTTTGCTATTCATGAAGCAGTACCTTCTTAAGGTACTTTACAGTTTACAGAATGCTTTAGTATCAGCCACCACTCTCTGTGAAGTTCTTTGTAGCTTACAAAGTTCTTTGTTGTCAGCCAAGTACAAGTTCACAGAATACTTTAAAGATTACTAAGTTCTTGGTCATTCACCATGGTGTCTCAGTTCACAGAGAACATTATAATTGAACAAGTGTTTTGCTATTCACTAAAGATGTCCAAGTTTCACAGAGCAGTTTAGAATTTACTAAGAATTTTGCCACTTGCCAGGGAAATCCCAGTTCGCAAGGCACTTTACAGTTTTACATATTGCCATTCATTCAGGGCTTTCTGGACCCTGGCATGTTTCACAGAGTGTTGCTGCCCTGCACCTGCTAGTGTGTCTGTGCCCTCACCAAATTCTGGGGTGCTCCCACCTCAATGATGTGATCTCGTCCATCCTTGCCATGCAGCGCTTCCACTGCACAAATGTCCAGTCCCCCAAAAATCTCTGAGCATGTGTCCACCCACAGCTTGTACCTGTCAAAATGCAAGGCAAGGAAGTCTGTCAGTACCTGGTCTGGGCAGCCACACTTCCACTCTTCCCCCCATCAGCCCCCACCAAGGTCAGGCCACCCACCTGTCAGACATAGCAATCTGCTCAAGCATCGCAGAGCCAGTGTTAGTCTTCCAGTTTCCTGACACTGATGTTCTCCTGGAGAACAAAAGGAGACACGAGAGAGGCTCAGGGGGCCTGGGCTGCACAAGGCAGGGCAGGGGGACCCCTCCCCAGGCCTTGGTCTTTCCACTCACATATAGGCCTTGTAGTTCTGCCCAATCTTCTGGATGCGTACATCGTATTTGGCATCAATGAAGGGCTCGGTGGTGGCATATGTCTTGGTCAGTGCCACGACACTCGCAATGTCCTGGAAGTCATGCTGGTTGTCCACCTTGACCTGTGGGAGTGGGGTGGGAGTCAGGGCCCGGTTAGGACGGGGTGGTAGTGGGCAGTGGGGGTGCCTTGGGGCAAATGACACAGGTGAGATGAGTGCACAGAAATCAGTGGACACCCCCAAGGCACTCAAGCATGTATTAATTCTGGGCCTCCTGGTTTTTACATGTGCATGTAGATACCTCATGGGATCTAAGTACATACAACCCGAGTTTTAGACTGGTTTACTCTAAATGGGTCAGTTTATGGTATGTGAATTATATCTCAATAAAGCTGTGAGAAAATTGTGTGTATATACAGTATATGCATATGGGCACCCAGACACAAAATCCATTGTATATACAATATATAAACAGAGAAGCGTGGACACAAACATGCAAATTATAAGTCTGCTTTCTATGGACACACAGACAAAATCAGATTGGTGGACAGCACACAGGACCCCGAGACCCTTGAATATAAGAGATGACATAGTTATGTGTTCAACAAAGAGGCCTGCCTACATACAAACACAGTGCTGGAAACACTAACAAATAACAGGACACACAAAACTGGCTGAGTGCAGGATAGAAAATTGGGCCAACAAATGTAAGCATATGTGGAAAAATACAAATAGATAAAAGGACACACATACAGAATTATTTTATTCACTGAATACACAATATACTTCTACAGGCATACCTTCTTGAAGATACTGTGGATTTAGTTTTAGACCACTGCGATAAAGCGAAGGTCACAATAAAGCAAGTCACAAATTTTTTGGTTTCCCAGTGCATCTAAAAGTTGTATTTAGACTGTATTCTGTTAAGTGCAATACATATCTAAAAAAACAATGTACATACCTTAATTTTAAAATACTTTATTGCTAAAAGATGCTAGCCATCATCTGACAATGCAGGGTTGCCAGGAACCTTCAATTTGTAAAAAAAAAAAAAGGTATCTGTGAAGTGCAATAAAGGGAAGTGCAAAAACGAGGTATGCCTGTACTTACACCTGCACAGTGCCAGGAACATGCATCATTTACAAGCACACAGGTCCAAACTCCACCTGGGGACTTACCTTGCCCATCCCAGAGTGTGCATGCCCCATCTTCACAACCACAGGGTACGTTGTGCTGCTGAGCTGGTAGGGTGGAAAGGCAGAGTGTGGTCAGTGGTCAGGGCAGGAGGCCTGACAGCTTGGGGCAGGGGTGAGGGGAGCCCATCCAGTGGGAGCCACACTGAGAGCCATTTTCCCACAAGAGGTGGGTCAGAGATAGCCAGCTAGCAGCTGGGGGTCACACAGCACTTGGGAGCTCAGAATCCAACCCAGAGCCCTGCCTGCCTGTCCCTCCCTCCACCACCCCCGTCCCAGACTTCCCGCCTCTGCTTTCCCGGGCAGAGGCATGGGTGAGGGGTGGGGGACTTTTCCGGAAAAGGGAAAGTTTATTTTTACAGTGAATGGATGGATGATAGAGAAGTGAGTGTGTGCATGTGTGTGTGTAGGGGTGTGGTAGTGAGCATGTAGCAACTGGACCCCTCAGCCAGGCCCTGTGTGTGCATCTCCTCCACACACATATACAACTCAGAGACACACAAACCCTCAGAACTCAGCTCTACACTGCCACACCCAGAGGTTCCCACACATGCTGAGACCCAAGCAATGGAAAGACCCACCGCCAACACAAGCTCCTGAACACACCTTGTTCTCTGGCCACACAGCCAGCCAGCCAGCCCAGCAGTATACACTCAACACTTGTAGACATGCAGTCCATACTTTTGGGCACAGACATACACCCAGCCCTCCTCTCACCCAAAGCCATGTAACAGAGGGACACACAACACAAAGATTACCTGTGCAACACCGAGACACAACCCTCAGAGGCACACGCAAGTGTGACAGGCACATACAACAGAACTGGGTACATATTCAACACTCACATACACATGCAATATTCCTAGGCCATATGCACACCAAACAGAAAGACTCACTCTATATCCAGAGGTACACACACTTCTAGGTATTCACAGAAGCACTGAGACCCACAACACAGAGACACACCACCCTCCTGGACACATACAAAGTGTATCTAGGGACACACACACATACAAAACATGCCTTGCCATATATGCAAACAGGCATATACACAACCAGGGACACCCACAACCTCTTAAGTACATGAACAACACTCTGGGGTGTGTATGTACACACACACACACATTCAGGTGTGGGGATACCTCAAGTTTCCCCCAACCCTGGGCAGGGTAGAGGGAACTGAGTTAGCTGACCCCAGCCTCACCACACATGGATGCACGTGCAGGGTTGTGCCCTCCCTCCGCCTTGTTGAAGGGCCACAGGGTAGAGAGCAGCATTCCCGGAGGGGCTGCTGGGGTGGTGGCGGTTCTCAGTTCCCGACACAGGCACAGGAAGCCCGCAAGGTCAGGGTGACCGATTGACCTTCAGGCCTCACCCTCCCTCCACCACCCCCCCACCTTCCTCATTTCCCAAATGAGTGGTGTTACGATGGGGTGCTGAGAAGCACCAAGTCGTTACCTTGTTGCCAGGATGCTTTAGACAGCGTTCCAGGCAAACCAGGCAGAAATGGCAGGTGATGTAACACAGGCGCACACCCAGCTTACAGAGGTGACAGCACACCCTTAATTCCATGTGCAACCCAGACCTGCTTTACAGAGGCAGATACAAATCCAGAAGTAGTAGGCTATCCAAAACATTCAGGTACACACCGCACACACACCACACACATACTACACACCACACAGAGGAGCACACACCACCTAAAACCACACACATAACCCTCAGAGGCAGAGACACAACAGGATGCTGTGTGTAAGTGCACATGCACACTCTTCCCTGCAGTCTTTAGGCCCCTTTTATAAGCCGCCTTTTGTTTTCTCTGAACCTGAGCCTGAACACAACACTGTGTGTATGTGTGTGTGTGCCCACACATGCTGTGCCTGTAAGGATCTCTGAACACTGGGATCCCCGAGCCAGCCCTAGGTTTGAATCTTGGCCTCTCCTCTTCCTAAGGCCATGTTTAAGCCCAAGCAGGTCACTTAACCCCCTCCAGGCCTCAGTTTCCTGATCTGTACATAGGGCACAATCAGGCCCAAGCACTCGGTGTGTGGGAGGACTATCAGGTGTCTGCAGACCCAACTGAACCCCACACCCCCCACACCCACCTCACCAGCTGGCCACACCAGCTGGACTACCCCTCCAGGAAACCCCACCAGTTTCGAGATCTGTACAACAACCCACATCCACACAACCCCTCATGTATAGACAGTGGGCAAAACTCTGTGTTGACTCAGGTTTCAGACTCACAGAGCTGGCGTCAGAAGCAGGGTCAGCGAGGGGCTGCAGCAGGACTTTCCCTGCCCTCACTTCTCCCTTTGCCCCACCACCGACTTACTCAGCCCCCGTCTCATTCACTCTCACTCCCCACTTTCACAATCAGCTTCTCCAAATTCCTGGTTTATGTCTCTTCCCCCTTATCTCGTACCCCCCCCCAACCACCACCCCCGCCCCAACCCAGAGAGTCATTTCTTCACTCTCATTCCTGGGCAGATCACTCGACCCCTTTGTCTGTTTCCTCATCAGGATAATGAGAACATGAACAGTCTCTAACTCACAGATTTTGTGAGGAACGCAACAACTATTTCAGACAAAACATTTAGCACTGGCATGCTAAAGCCTGTGCTGGCTTTATCTGGCACACAGGAAACCTCCATCCTCAAAAAGTGTCGAGCACTATTATTATTATTGGTTTTAACATCCCTAGGTTAGTCAATATTAATTGACAAGGAGGTAATAGGGATTGATGACAGATAGTTACAAAGATTTTCAGAGCAGTGTTTGATGTGTAGTAATAGTAAGAACTCCGTAGTGCTGGCAGTAGTTTCTGTTGTGGTAGTATTGGTGATGGTGATGGTTGTGCTAACCTTGCTGAGTTAATCAAGCTTAATTAGCAAGGAGGTAACAGAGATCTGATGACAGAATTACACGAAGGCTTCAGGGCACAGTATATAGTAAGTGCTCCGGAAGAGGCTGCTATCATCACTACCATTATCATCATTATTATTGGCCTGTCCTCCCTGAACTAACCAAGGATGTTACTTGGCCCTCAGAGCCCTTTCCCAGGACCCCAGGGAAGATCCAGGCAGCATCTGGAAGCTAGTGGACAGATTGTCTCACCCCACCCCCCACCAGGGGCATGGGAAGGTTGGTGAGGAAGGGGGAGGGCAGGATGGGAGGGGATTTGTTTTCTACTGACTCACTGGCCTCTTTCACCACCTTTCAGCTCCCCCCACCCCAATGCTCATTCATTCACTGGCAGCTTCCCTGCTTGCCAGAACTGTGCCCCGCCTGGGTTAAGATCCTGGCACCAGTTAGCCTAGGTTCAAATCCCAGCCATGCCCTGTGGTCCTGGGAAAGTTCTTCAGTTCCTCTGTGCCTCCTCTGGGAAATAGGAATAACATCAATAACCATCTCAGAGGCTTATCATGAGCTTGAAGTGAGTTGTGTTAGTTGCTCAGTTGTGTCTGATTCTTTGTGGCCCCATGGACTGTAGCCTGCCAGGCTCCTCTGTCCATGGGATTCTCCAGGCAAGAATATTGGAGTGGGTTGCCATTTCCTTCTCCATGAAGTAAGCTGGTGCTATATAAATGCTGATTGTTTGCTTGTTTTTGTTTTTGTTTTTCTGAGAGGGGTTAAGACCCAGGCTTTGGCTCTACGACCTGAGTTCAAATCCCATTTCTGCCACTTATTAACTGTGAGCTTGAATAAATCATTTAACTGCTCTGTGCCTCAGTTTCCCCACTGTATCCTTCTTCCATTCACCTGCCCTATCTTCCTTCACTGTTTCTACTTGTTTGCTCTCTGCCTCCTCCCACGGTAGGTGCACACCAAAGTGTTTATTGAAGGAAGGAACCATTTGGGCTTCACCCATGAGGGGTTGGGGTCGGGGGGTTGTGGGTGATCAGTTAGAGACTTTAGGGAATTGCATTGGGCGGAATCCTGCCTGTAACCCTCCGCTGAGACCGCCTGGAGGGATGGTGCCTGACGTGGAGACGGGGGAGGGGGGTGGTCAGGGCGAGGCTCTGGGGGAGGGAAAGGAAAAGGATGCATCGCCTTTTCGGCAGCCCAGGGACCGCCCCTTGGCCTCCACGGATGGTGGGCGGATGAGTAATGCATCCAGGAAGCCTGGAGGCCTGTGGTTTCCTACCGCTGCTGCTACCCCGCCCTCGCGTGGATATTTATCCTCCGCGGCTCCGGCCCTGCCGCCATCGCCGCGGACCCAGCGCCCAGAGAGGCTACACCAGAGGTAGGCAGGGGCTTGAGCGGCCCGCAGGGCCTGGAACTGGGCTGGAGCATTCCTGCCTGATACTCGGCTGCTCAGCCCGGCCTGCGGGTACCAGGACCCTGGGCTGGAGCAGGGGAAAAGGGTGGGGGCGGGGGAGGGGGGCTGGAATCGCTCTTTCAATCCCAACACTCCCAACTCCTTTGAACCCCTGTCATCCATCCCCAGCTCCCCGAAGCCACGAGCCCCTAAAGCCACAGCTGCCTCCCAAGCTGCCAACTCCCCTAAATTCCCTCTTTGTCCCCCAGCAACCCAAACCCCCGAAGCTCCCTCAGCCCCCACAATCCCCAGCCTCCCAAATTCCCAACTTCCTAAACTCAGAGCTTTCTCTGCACCCTAATTCCTCAGGCACCCCACCCCCTTAAGCCCTCAAACTCTGTCAACTCCTTAAATCCCCAGGCTCCTCCAAATTCCTCAACTTCTTTCAACTGCCCCACCTCCTCTACCACTCAATATGCGCAACCCCCAAACTCCCAACCTCCCCGCAAACTCCTCCAGCTCCCCTAACCCCAAATTCTTCAACCCCAAGTCTTCAACCTTCCCACCACTTTAACACCCTGAAATTCTCCAACTCCCCCAGCCCCCTAAACACTGCAGCCCCATAACTCACCCACTTACCTAGTGCTCAAAGTTTAAATTGCTCAAACTCCACGACTCCTAAACTCTCCTCACTCCCTATCCCCCTAAACTCTCCTGGGTTCTCAAATCCCCAAGCCCCTTAAAATTCCGTGTGTGTGTGTGTGTGTGTGTGTGTGTGTGTGTGTGT